GGGGGGTAGTGGAGAGAAATGGGCTCCGCATGAGGCGTGCGTGCCTAAGCCCCTCGTGCGGTGGTGCAGTGTACGTACCTCATGGTTGACGGAAGGCTTCGTTCAGAGATAAGCGGAAACTGTCTTGGCGCTGCTTGTGCGTGCGGTGAAGGTGTCTTCAGTAGCTCTCAAAAGTGTTCAATAGGCGTATCGGCCATCTCGAGTGGCGTGTCAGGGGCGAGTTCAATGCCGGAAGTGTCCAGGCGAGCAGCTCTTTTCCCCGTTTTTTTTTTTCTCGAGTGTTTTGTTTGTGTCTTACCATCACACACGGCAGAGCGACCGACGTGACGGTGACGGCCGTTGTTACATACACCTCACGACCAGCCGCCTCTTTGAGATTGGATCAACGCCAACAACCGGCTCACTCATGTGTTTCTCCCTGATCTTGGGTTCGTTCGAACACCACAATCTCCGCCGTAGCGGCATGGGTTTCGCGGCAAGCTACGTTGTCGAGCACGAACACCCCCCCCGCCCGCGCGACACATGTGAACAACCCTTCCGCGCTCTGACCTATTTCGCGTCGGCGTTGTTGCTGCTCCTCTGCGCACTCTTTCCGTTGGAACAGGTCTCATGCCTTCGACTCTGATCTGATGAAACTGATGACCGCCGAGGCGATCTGACGACGCTACATCCTGAAGGTCATAAGATCTGAATCTTGTTGCGTCGACACACACATCGGGGCACGAACGATGCAGTACAGGGGTAAGAAGAGTGTGGGAGCGTACCGTTTCTCTGTATGGTTTTAGAGGCCTTGTTCTGGGCGGCGCGTGGGGGGGGGTGTACTGATAGTCGTGCTTGTCGTAGTCGTTAGACCATTGACCTCGCATCCCTACAAAGCCGGGACGGAGCACGCCGGGTTCTCACCGGACCAGGCTCTCACATCACCAAGCGCGAAGCGCCGTGAGATATTCGGCGAGTCATGAAGGGGGAGGGGGGGGGCGGTGCATTGCTATCGTGTAGATTTATTTCTTGGGGTGGTGGTTTTCCTTGTCTACATCGTTGTGTAACTTTGTTTTTGTGGAAGGTACGCCTGATTTCGGCGATGAAGTGTGAGGTGTTGAAGCACAGTAGGGCTCGGGGAGGGGAGTGTGGGGGGGGGGTTCAACCCAGAATCAGGCCAGCTGTTCGATGAGCTTTTTGTGCTAGTGCTTTACATATATTATTTATATTTTTTTTGGACTACGTTGTTTAGTACAGCAGCAGTAGTTTAGTGGTTTTTCATGTGGTGTTTTTCTTCCAGTGTTGCAACGCAAGGCTGCCGTTAAATTGAAGTATTCTACTGTGTTGTTTGTTCGAGAATGCTGCTGTTCCACTTTCTGCGTGCGGTTCCCCAGCAACCCACCCCTGTGCGATTTGTGGAGAGTTACGATACGAAGATCAATCACATAAATTTCAGATGTAGCAGTTTCATGAGGCAAGCGCACTCAGGTTGTTGTCCGTCCCTTGTCAACGTCGTGTTTTGCTTTTTTGTCTTCATTGGTCTTCTTGTTTTGGTGTGCTTTAACCCCGCTCACACCCCTCACACCGCAAAGAAAACGCGCGAGGCTCGCTTTTTTTGGTTGTGCGTAGTGTTCGTTCGTTTGACTGCGGTGAGAGTGAAGTGTGGGGCGCCGATATTCGAGTCCTTTGGCGGTGTCACGCCGTGTTCATGTTGCCGATTGTCGGTGATGATAGTATTTATTATGTCCAGAGATGTGCTCGTCGAAGCCCCTCGTGCCGCCACTGCTGCTGAGCTGTTGCATCGCTGTACACCTCAGAAGAGGCCGCACCAGGCCTGGCTGAAACAGGTGTATCATTGGGTAGAGACTAAGCGGACGATAATGTCCGTCCGGTAGACGAGGGGACGATCGTTTAAAGGGGCCTTTTCGTGGCCGTTGTTACGTGCAACGAACACCAGGGCCGACTTTATCGTTTGTGTGTTGTGAAGGGTCTCCTGTTCTATTTATTACGGGATGTTGTTTGTGGGAGGGAAAAGACCGGCACGTACTAGCATAGCGGAGTGTTCTTGGCCATCCCTCCCGGGGATTTTTCTATTTTGGGTTTTCCGGCAGCTCTCAGACATCGTCGGAGCATGCGGTAGAAGAGTAGGCATCGTCACATCGACACTGTGTGTAGTCGTTAGGATTTATTTTTGAGAACAAACCAGAGGAGAGGTTGGTTTTGTCTTAACCTGTCTGTGCGGCTCTCTGTCTCCGGGGGGCGTTTGCAAGAAGTTGCCCATTTTGGTTGCGCATGAGACAGTAGTACATTTTGTATAGAACACACACGGTATATATCTTATTCCTTGTTGGTCGGAAGACGAGCATGTAGTCTATTGCACGCACGTAGATCCAATCAATGTGCCGTGGTTCACACTCAGATCTCCGTATCTCCCCGCGAGGGTCGGTGTACGTGATGTCTCGTTTGAGAGCGCGTCAACCTCTCGCGGTATTGTTTCTGTAGCACCCAACAGAGCAAAAGGTAATCATTATATTGCCGTGGCCATGTGTGTCGGTTGCCCACGTGCTCACTGGGTGTAGCTCCTCTTGGTCTTGAAGTTAGAGCGCGATGAAGTCTATGTCTACGGGCTATACCTGGGGCATCGAACGCTGTTGAGGCGAACCCCGCTCACGGGTGTGACTCTTCACGATCACTCTCAACCCGGCTGCTTATTATCGGTTTGTTTGTTGTTCTCAATTTGTTTGGTAAGGTTTGCACAGAGAGCCCGCATGTAGTTAAGCCCTTGATTTTTCCCCCTGAAGTTTTTGCAAATTGCCCGCCTTGGGGATGCTGGTCTTCTGCACCGAGCGATCGGCACGTCATCAATCCTGCTGGTGGCAGCAGCGGCAAAAATAAGTTGCAGTCGACCACATCTACCTGCGGTGTACTTGTTGTCTTGTTTGGTGGATGATTCTTCCTGATGGGGTTGCATAGAGTTTTTATTGTGGGATGGACGTCAAAAACGATATTCCAATAACTATCTCCTTCCAGCTTGACTGCTGGCTTGTGGACGCTGATATATGGTAACGAGACGGTGTCCCTGCGTTTATCTACTGATCACGCCCGCCCTGAAAGACCTTTGGGCTTGGCCTAGACCTGGGGTTCTTGTTCCTCTTGTGGGCTACAAGGCCGATTTGAATGTACCAAGGTTTTAGTGAAGGGTTTCTTCACCGGCCTCACAACCGGTACTCAAGTTCACACGTTCGACACTATGTTGAACATGAAGTCCTTGATTGGTATGAGCGCTATCTGTACTACTTGCTGACGTCCTTTTTTCCGGCCGTATAGTTCAAGGGCGCGTTTTAAGGACTAGTGAAGAAGGACGAACATGAACGTGGTGAAGCTATTGTAACTAGTGAAGAAGGACGAACATGAACGTGGTGAAGCTATTATAACTGATGATAGTCCGATGACGGCCTGACTCAACTAAGTCGGGATTTCAACACTGCGTCAATCAAGGTCGAAACACAAGGAAGGGGCTACCGTGGCACCTCTGTAAGGCGCTCCCGTCTCGCACAACATAAAACATGGTAGTATCAATCTCCTGCATCATAAAAAAACAGGTACAAATAAGGATAGGCCCTTGCGTGATGTTTTTTTGGGCCTTTGCCCATTTGGGGTTTTCCAATTCATCACAATCAGACATGCAACGAATCGACGAAAGGGGAGTGGAAAATTGGGAAGAACCGTTCACACACTGCTTGTGTCTCACCTGGTCCTCCTACCGATCGACAACCGAATAATATTGTCACATATGATCTTGCATCATCATCAATCGGTGTTTTTTTTCAGGAGACCCAACTATCATCAGCTATTGATAAAAATAAATAGCTTCGAGACGTGGACTACCACATGGTGCAGCAGTCAGCACAAACAAGAAGTGCTTTTGTAAGGAGTTCAAGAGTACAGAAAGACATCTGAATGATTGAGTTAGTCCCGAGATGTATGTAGCAATATAGCTCAAAACAATGCCGAAGTTCGTTCTGTTGTATTTGGTTGCATGCCTGCGTAGGCCGAGGCTATCTACTGTTGCAGACTATGACGCATGCATACGGTACTGATGTGGTAGACTGGTAATTTATGTAGACACGTAGACTATGTTCTTATTCGAGACTATGCACACAAACGAAAACACTGGATGGTGTAAATGTATGTATAGATACGTGGTGACAAGGTCTTCAGGCAGCACTCTACACTGCATAGTCTATGTATTTAGATACGAAAGTGTACATCTCTCTGTACATAAATGTGCGTAAAATACATGGCACTCTACAGGTGGTATGCATTAGTGTTGTGTGTAGAGTAAACCGGCCAATTAAGGAACGCTTCAGCCACCTCTCGCGCCAACAGCTGGTTCTCGGGCGTGAGAACGAATTTCAAGTGTTTTTAAGTATCGGACGATAGGGTACATTGTAGGCTACCTCTCTGAAAATAGGAAAAATCGGAAGGGCAGATGAGATAGAGCTGATGCAGTCCACCTCAGTGTTTAACGAAACATGGTGGAAACACGCCCCCCCCCCCAATTAAGGAACACTTTAGCTTTGTGGCTGATTTCGTACGTTCTGAAGCGTGTCGTGATCTGATTTTTTGTGTTTATGCGTCTGTTGTAACATGTGTCCATTTGAGAAAAAAAATGGAATTGATCCACGCCCGGGGACAAAATCCTCACATCCCAGGGTTTCCCGGCTGAAATCGGGGACGGATTGTAACCCCCGTTTTTGACCATACGGCGGTGCTGCGCACATGAAAAGAGCCAGAACTAAGAGATTAATGCATGGTTGGTCCATTCTGCTCATATATCGACTCCCTAAAAAGAAATGAGGACGAAAGACGTTGCGTAGGTGATGTAATGCCCGTTCAAACAGGCATACCTTGGACCTGGCCGCTACGGTAAGAATTGTCCGCGGGGACCCCAAGGCCAGTTCCCTTGTTTCACATTCACCTTACACTCCCACAACGTGCCCTTTTCTGGGTAGGTGTTTTCTATGACAAGGAACGATGTTGCAAAAAAAAATCCATGCATACCCGGGGACAGAATTGCCATATCCCCGGTAACGCGGCTAGCCAATTCACATCGTGAACTCGGCAACCAGGTTACCGTTTTTTTTTTTACCTCCATTTTTTTTTTTTGGCGGTAACCATAATGGTGGTTGAGTAGATTATGTTGTGCGGGGTCGAGAACCTTCACTCCGCGCAAGGGGGATGATCGCACCACGTTGTGTTAAAATGGTCAAGCACCCTCGAGGCAGTTACACAGTGCTTACAACTGTCTCTGGAAGTGAAAGCACCAGAAA